AGGAGGCCAGCTCTATGCGATCTGATGGGACGCAGGGAGGTAATTGGCAGAAGGCGGTCTCTCAGATAGCCAGAATTCTGCCATAACAACCATGAAGTAATTAGTATCCAATCCAATTCTCCTCCAAATGCAAAATAAATAAACCTTTGGCCATAATTATGTAAACCATGATTTGTAAGCCAACAAAAAACCCTAGCTGGCTGATAGGTTGGACAGAGATTGTCATAAACCTGGTTTCAGGTGTTCTGCAATGCTCTCTTGTCTTGCTTTGTATGTACAACAATAGGCTCCATACTCTTAATACAGTCATTTTCAACTCTTTTCAAATTCAGAGGACCAGTGAAGGTAGCGGTGGCAGGGAGTGGGTGAGGGGAGAGGGAATGGTTTCACATGCATGTGCTGCTTTCACTATAAAGCTTTGCATGCACATACACATGTGCTCTCCCACATTTCCATGGATGGTTCAAAACAGACTGTGGATCAGAGTTTGGAGACCCCTACTCAAATATGTAGATTAGCTGGCTTCACATTATATATCTAACCTGGTTGCCTAATTTTTTTTGGTCCAGATAATACACAATGAATCATAAATGAAGCAAGCAGGTTGAGTTTGAACTACGCACTAAATCACTGAGTCGCACATCTATCTAATCAAAGTTAACACTACTCAAGCTTAGCATTGTATGTGAATACATTTGCTAAGTTTTTAACTGATCTAGTGATAATTTGCTACAGAATTTTGTTGGCCTCAGGATAAAATAGTCTCCCTTTAACCTTCTTGCAACTGATAAGTAAATGACCTGAGGGGAGATTTCTTTATTCTGAATCAGAGTAGAACTTGTATGGAGAGTAAGCAGCACAAGCTGGCAAAGTTTAGATTCTAGTCAACAGAGCTTGAAGTTCAGCCATAGCTTCAATAAGGAGTCAACATATAACAGCATTTTCCTTTATTACATAACACCTTGTATGTTTACTTAATATCTGATACACTCCCTATTTTGTTCTCCTATTATACTCCAGATTTTCAAAACTCCATATAGTTGCGGTTGCCTTGTGTTCCTATTTTATATGCAGATTTGGCAGTGTTACAGCTCCTACCAGTAGCAGAGCGTACAAAAGTAAAGAAATTGTTCTTCAATATTTTCTCACCTTTAATTTGGAAAAATGATTTGCAAAGAATAAATCCAGTTGTATTTTTAAGGTATATTTTTCCTTTAAAAAGAAATCTATTTGCTACACAGTTGTGAATAGTTGCACAACATTTACTTTTAAACCAGTATTACTGCATAGCTGTATAGGTATGTAAGAGGTTACTAGACTTCTTTTTCCACACTGATAGTTGCACTACCCACACAAAGCATCAGCTTTCCAAGATACTAAAGTAGTTTATGCAATTACTGGATTATCATCCAGTAATCAGTGTGTTTCAACATATGGTGTTTCAATTGCGAATGTAAAACAATCAGTACGTAAGGCTTCAAAAATGGAAAAGATCCAGGACAAATATGCAAACAGGTAGCCAAATTATTTAACATGGTACCCATATGGATTTGAAGGTGCTCAGCAATATCTTCAAAGCGACATATAATAAGATCTGGTATATTCCTTGTGCATTTCTTGTCCATATGCATGAAAAAAATGATCATTTCAGTGTGAATCCCAATTCTGAGTTACAATTAAATACACTGTTATGTATTGCACATATATAGTTGTGTTAAGCCCTGCTAAAGTGAAACTAATCTTTAGATGACCCTCACTGTTAGCACCAATTGTTTTGGAGGAAAACTTTGAACATTCATATTTGGATCATCAAACATTATGATTGGTTAAGACCCTGTCGGCCCAGAGTATAAATTTCAGCATTTGCTTGCTTTTCCTCAGTTCCAGTTTTGAGTCAATAAATGCTGTTGTAGCTATGCTGGTCTAGTTCTTACCTACTGAAGCCCACTACACAATATACACTACATTATATATTTGGGCCTAGGGTAGGGCCCCTCACAATTCCAGGTATGTTGCTGTGGTGTGGCCAAGGCGTATACCTGGGACGGATGAAGGAGAAACATACAACATGTGTATTACATATTCTAGAAGTTTACACTCATAGCAGAATAGAAAGAGTATTGATGCTTTGGAATTTCAGTGATGTATAAGACTCCCAAGAAAAACCAGACTGCCAAATAATCATGGGTTGTCCAACCAAGAATTCTCACTTCAAGTACAAATGACCAGAATCGAATTATCCTTCTTCAAATGCATTATGCAGAGATCTGCCTCTCTGAAGAAGGCTTTAATGCTGGGAAAGGCAGAAGGAAGGAGAAGAGTAGGAAGACCAACCACAAAATGGATGGACTCATTTGTATTGGCCTTGAATCCACCATTGGAAAACACTGGGGGTAGATTGTCATGGAAAAGATCTATCTATTTGGTCATTACAAGTGGGCACATAAATCATCAGTCATGATGAAGTTGAACAACCATGGTCCCAGGCAACATCACATGTGGCATCCCGGAACTGCTATGGAGTTTAGGACCCTGAAATTTCTTTTGCGTGGAGATGGACTTTTAAGGAAGGAAATGGATGCCATACTTTTTAAACTTCTTTCGCTCCACAACATCCCTGATAATAGTTTTTTTTTTTTNACATGGCCAGCAAGCCACTCCCACAAAGCAGGCCACACCTACAGAAGAGGTTCTAAAAAAAATTGAAACCCACCACTGCACCTTATTACAAAAAAGATGTTGAGACATTGGAAAAAGTGCAGAAAAGAGCAATTAAGACGATGAAAGGCTTGGAGACTAAAACATACGAAGAACGGTTGCAAAATTTGTGTTTGGCTAGTCTAGAGAAAGAAGGACTAGAGGGGGACATGATAGTATTCCAGTGTTTGAAAGGCTGTCAGAAATAAATGGAAGGGGGTCTATTTATTTTTCAAAGCATCAGAAGGCAGGACAAGAAACAATGGATAGAAACACATCAAGGAGAGAACATGCATTTAACTGATGTCATCATTTTCTCCCTCTTTTGTGTACGCTTGTGTGTGTGCACACAATGCAGCTGTTGCAATCCCCAAGCCCGAGCTGATCTGTCGTCTGGAACGGGGAGAAGAGCCATGGATCCCTGCCCAAGCAGCTTCAGAAGAGAAAAAAATCCCCCTTAACCTTTATGAAGGTGAGAGAAAAAGAGTGTGAAACAGAGATGAGCTTTGGGGCTAAATGGCTGTGGTCTAATATTCTGTTGTCCTGATGTTCCACCGATAGCATCTTCGGAGGCCAAGTGAGCTGATTTGTGGTATGCCGCTTGGCAGCCCATACACAACTGATCTGAGCTGACTAGGCTCTTTTATATGAAGCTGGCCCACTGGTCTCTGGTTGGTCCATATCTCAGATGTCCAAGAAAACTGGTTCCCGATTGATTCCTTGTCTCCAGCTTGGTCCATTGTTAATGGTCTCTTTTGCACATATGTAGATACTAGCTAAATACCCGTGCTTCATGACAAAACTATGTGATCGGGCTATGCAGGAGAAATTCGGTACACAATCCGTTGGCTCAGTGGTGGTTGGTGATTGAAACACTTAAGGGAATACCATTCCCACCGCCTTGAGTCCGGAGGCAGTTCCATAGGTGGAAGGCGTAGACATTTTGGTGAGGTACCGACGTTTAGTACTGTAAGGAGCCCCAGACTGCTCCTGAGTAAACGAGTGGAACGTCCGTCAGTTTAAACTGAGGTAACGGAATGCGAGACAACTGGCAGTTGAACAGAATTCTTTTGAGGTGGGGAGGGGGAGTAGAACTCCTTAGCATCAGAGTGTGTTAAGTACCATATAAGAAATACTAATGATCTGATGATCATATCAAAAAATCCTTTCTTAGCGAGCACCTAAAAGCCAAGAGGAACATATGTGCCAAATTTCAAGTTTGTAGGCTTTACAGTTCTGGATATTTTGTGATGAGTGAGTGGTATTTGCCTTATATATAATATTTGCCTTATATATATTGTTTATGTTTATGTGTCTCTCGATGGGCAATTTGTCAGAGTGCCAGCCTTTCAGGAATGCATCCATATGTGTATCTATCAATGCCAACTAATAGTCAGAAGACATGATGCAAACTCTTTAATTTCACAACATGTGGACAAACATAATCATAGTTTCAAAGTGGAAACTGTTGAAATCATGCTAAACTAAACCAAGTCCAAAAACTCTAAACAATTCCTGGAAGATTGCCACTCTGACAAATTGCCCATCATAGACAGACAGACATAAACAACATCTACATGCTGTGCAAAAGAGATAATCAATGAACAAAAAAGGAACAAAAACATCAGAACAATAATCAAGAACTAAACACTTCCCACATTCAAGGAATTGCAAAACAAGCTAAGAGTAAACAGCCCAAACAAACAAACTCCAAGGCCACCAGCACCAACACTGACAAGGCAAGCTGTCAGGAAATAAACTGAGATCAAACCCCATTCCTTACTAGCACTGATGATGTTGTCTAGTTTGGGTAATGAAACGTCTGCAAGAAAACAACCAAGCTCAGAGAAAATATCAAGGACCCCTCAGGTCAGACTGTCGTTTCTCTATTTTCCTTTATCATTTGTTCAGGGATGTCCACAAATGTGTATAGGTGTTGGGGGGGGGGGGGAACCAAGATGGCAGCCAAGGTTATGTGATCAAAGGTCTTTTGTAATTGTAATTGTAATTCAGGGATGGTACCAGAGGTGGTATTCTACCGGTTCAGACCAGTTCGCCCGAACCGGTAGCGGAAATCGTGGATGGCCCCACCCACCCACTCTGGTTCTATGGCATCCCATTTAGGCCCTTTTTTCGCCAAAAGTGCATGCACAGAGGTGGTGGAAGGCTGCGCATGAGTGCTCACCTTTTGTGAACCAATAGGGGAGGTAAGTGTATACCACCCCTTGATGGTACCCCAAAACTACACACTATTGAGCCTTACTCTACAGTGGGGAATCAGAGAGAGAACTTTTTCCCCTCCTTGTCCTTTAGCTCATTCCCTTTCTTTTTCTCAGGAAACAACTTTGCTTTGACTTCTACCACTATGCCAGCAAGCGGGGTGATCATGAGGGAGATCAAGGAAGAGATCACAGAACCTGAAATCTTGGATCCAGAAGATCCCCCGTGGGCTTTGCTGAGGGCACCCCCAGAGAACCCTTCCTTAGCTTCAGAAGCCCGGTGTGGCCTGCAGAGACAGTGGGAGCTGCAAGCCGGGCACATCTGGCGGGAACCCTCCAGGCACATAAGGGCAGCCAATTCCAAGCACTCCATGTTTCACGTGGGCCGGAAAAAGCTCATGTGCCCGGAATGCGACCGGTGGTTTCACTGCAAATCAGAATTCTTGCTGCACTGGCGGACCCACACGGGGGAGAAGCCTTACGAGTGCCTGGCTTGCGGCAAGCGCTTCATCCAGAGCTCCCACCTAAGTGCCCACCGGCGCATCCACACGGGCGAGAAGCCCTACGAGTGCCCCCGGTGTGGGCGGAGCTTCAACCGGCGCTCCACCCTGACGGAGCACTTGAGGATCCACACCGGGGAAAAGCCATACAAGTGCCTCCAGTGTGGGGAGAGCTTCCGCTGGAGGCCCTACCTGACCAAGCACCAGAGGGTCCACCTGGGCAATGCGGTCTACAGAGGCCTCAACAACAGAGAAGCCATCTTTGATGTCTCAGCCCATCCTGAGCCTCTGGGAAGACTAACAGGCAAGTCTGGTTTTATTCTCTGATTTTATAGATTTCTTGTTGTTGTTCAGTCCAGGGGTGAAATTCTACCAGTTCGGACCGGTTCACCCGAACCAGTAGTAAAAAAAATGCTATTGATTCGGGCGAATCCGTATTTCCAACAATCAGCTGTGACATGCGATTTATATTAGCTAGAAAGCAGGAAATCCTAATCTAAGTCATGTGGCACAGCAGATTCCCCCCCCCCCCCCCCCCGCTGTTCTATTTAACCTTTGCAGGCATCATCACGTCCATCTTTGATGCTCTGCATGCACGGAAGGTCCTGCGCATGCGTGGAGATGGCCCGTGCGCTCACATTTGCAAACCGGTAGCGAAGGTAAGTAGATTTCACCCCTGGTTCAGTCGCTAAATTGTGTCCGGCTCTTCGCCACCCAATGGACCATAGCTTGCCAGCCGCCTTGCCCTCCACAGTCTCCTGGAGTCTGTCCAAATTCGTGTTCATCGCATTGATGACACTGTCTAACCATATCATCCTCTGCCATCCCCTTCTCCTTGTGCCTTCAATCTTTCCCAACATTAGATTTTTTTTTCAATGTGTCCTCTCTCCTCATTAGGTGGCCAAAGCATTTGAGCCTCAGCTTCATTATCTGCCCTCCTAAACAACATTCAAGGTTGATTTCCTTTAGAATGGATTGATTTGATCTCCTTGCAGTCCAAGGGGACTCTCGGGAGCCTTCTCCAACACCACAATTCAAAAGCAACAGGTAGATTAGATCTTTCTCAGGGGCTGCCACAAAGCGTGGCATGACAAAACCGCGCTCGACTAAAGCGCGCCCGATTAAACCGCGTCGCTGACGTCATCAACAGGGCGACAACA